GGAATTGAAGCCGTTTCCATCTAATGGAAGTTTAATGTAGAACCTAGGACATCATATTTGCCTCTGTAGTTTGCCTTCATGTGTAAGCTCTTCAGGATAGGGGTATTTTTTATTCATGCTGTATGTCTGTGTGATACCCTGATAAATACTTCAGGTACTTAGTAGACATACAAAAAAGTAGAACTCTTGGTTCCAAAATGATACCTTTTATTAGACCAACTGGGAAATCACAAGAAAATTGTCTTTTTCTGCAAGGTTTCGGGATCAAAGTCCCTTCATCAGGCTCTGGGAAAAGTATAGATGGTACAAGATGGTAAGAAGTCCCCATTGGTAGAAAATAAACTTAGTACCAAGTACTTGGGTACTTAGTTGAATATGTTGAAAGATTTCCTGCAGCAGAAGTCAGTCATCTTTCCTCGATTTAAATCGAGAGAATTTGGAGTTCTGTTAGGTAATCCATGTATTAGTGCTGGGGAGGAAGAATTAAACAATCAGAGGGTAATTTGGCTTTAACTTTTAAAAAGGCTTATGAATTTGAAGCAAGTCTTCTAGTTTGGGTGTTGGTAATGCTTCTATTTACCATTAATGTAGTCTTTCATATTCCATTTTAGCATCTTTTAAAGAGGAGGAAAATTATTTTTCTGAGAACCAGCCATTTCCTTCTCTCCAGACCGTAAGTAATCAATGTAGAACAGAGCCATGCAATATTGAAATGTGAAAATATAAATTTTCCCTTGGGTTCTTATATGCCTAGAAAATGAATAATCAAATGTTGGCCCTAGTAACAGCAGAAAGTGCAAAATGAAGCTTATTTTTAGCTGCCACCATGCACATCAATTTAGAGGCTATTTTAAAAAAAAACCAAACAAACATCCAGGTTTTGAATACTGAAATACTGTAACTGCATGGAATAGAATAATTGTTGTAGACCACAGATAATATTAGTATATCTTCAACACTCAAGATACCTTCTATTTCCAGCATGAATTATAAGTGGAGTCATCTTGATCTGCTGGTTTGAGTTCCAAGAGAAGAGAAAAGTTGATCTTCAAGGACTTGTCAATGTCTTTTCTCCTTTATTTTTTAAACGTTTCTTAGTCATTTAGGTGGTGACATTCTGTTTCTGCTGTGATGAGAGGTCACAGGCAAAGCCGTCCCTTGGCGGGGCAGGGGCAAATTGGGGCGACTGCCCCAGGCCCCACGCTTTGGGGGGCCCCATGGACAGTGCTAAGGGTGCCACCAGTCTGCTGGCTTTACACTTGCCACCCCCCTCCCCCATGCTTTGGCTGATCACCACCTCTGCCTCCCACAGGCCCCACACTCCCCTAGAGTCGGCCCTGGTCACAGGTAGTTAAAGTATTTCCTCTGAGGGACTGCTTAGAAGCAGTGGTGTTTGGGAGCAAAATAATTTGCTTTAGTAGTGGAAAAGAAACTAAAAATAAATAATAGATGTCTTATATGCTCACCACAACTAGTAGCAATTAAGAGCTGCAGGTGCATAATGTCCCTGAAAATCAGATCCTTTGGGGATTTAGGCACCCAACTAAATGCCACAAGTAGAGGAATATGTAGTTACTTCTGACAGTTTTAGTCTTGCACAGTTTGCTGTTACCTTTTTTATAACTGTAGTAATGTGGTTACCATGCACAGGGTCCTATCTGTCATACCTACCCAGTCTATAGTAAATTATTTGTAATTAATTTATCCTGGGAAAACATAACCTGCTTGTCAAAATGCCTACAACTGTTTTAATATCCTGCAACTTGGTACCAATGTAGTTACCATGTGCAGGGTCCTGTTTCTTGCACAACTCTCAAAATACTATTACTTCTTTTACAGTTGTGATACAGTAATGTTTTATTAGTAAAGCTTTTGTATCTACTAGATTTGTATTAATTCACTGCTTAGCTTCTGCTACTCAGCACAGTTGGAAACAGAGTAATGTGTACAGTTCTAATATTCTGCTAATGACCTATTGCCAGAGCACATTTTATATTGCCCTTTTTCAGAAACTACTACAGTCTGATAAATACTTCCATTTATCTTATGTTACCTTACCTTACCTAATTTTCTTAACTACATTTCTTTGCTCTGGTTGTTTTTTTCTAATGCCTGAATCATTAGTTTGCGTGTCTATTTATTATATGCTATATTTACTCGAATATAAGACTTGGATATAAGACTTGAAATAAAAAGTTTTTTTCCCCGGTAAGCACAGAGGGAGGGAAGCTCCTTATCTTACATTCACGTGCAAAGAAACCTCATTAAATGCATTGTCTGTTATTAAACTGTTGCCCAAGCTGTGTGTACTCAGTAATGAAAACCAATTATGATTATATGTAGCCAAATCTGAGCATGACTAAAACACATGGTCCATATAGGGCAAACATTATGATGGGAGCCTATCACAATGACAGATTAGTGCAACCCATTTGAATAAGGCGCCCATTGTGCTCAGTCCCCCTCAGCACCGACTATTTTTTCAAGTCATGGCAAGTCACTACATTGCATACATTTTTACTTCCTCTTCACTCCCACAGCTAAGCTATGCCTGCCTCTCCCATTTCCAATGAATCCTGTTGTTTCACCAGCCTTAAATGTCTGACAAACATCACCAAATGGGGCCCCAAACAGTTCACCCAGAATCCCTCTGTCATCCCCTTTCTCAGCCTGTCACATATGATTAGTGTGGCCCTGCCCTCCATGATGTGATGCTGGACCAAGTTGCCCTGTGCCTCATCTGTGTTCACATTTTTGGAGGGTCACAAGACTCTTGACAAGAAGACCCAGTCCTAGTCATGAGTAGGGAACTAATTAGCACATGGATCCTTTGGTGGGGTATCCAGACTACACACACATACTGACCAGCTGAGCTGTTGGGTCACCATGACATGAAATGCTGTTGGCTCTGGTGTGGCCCAGCCCAATTAACTATACGGTAAATAATGAGCCTTCTGGGTTTGGACTAGTAGTTGTGCTGTATAGTTTGTGCAGCTGTTTCTCTGAGCCAAGTACAAGAGCCAGATTTGCAAACTGGAAGTAGGGGCAGACTCCAAAACAGCCTGCTTCACAAAGTATTTTTCAGGGCATGTGCTACAACACTGGGCGGTGTACATGCTGCCCAACATGTGCCTGTAGGCCTTGAAATTGCCATGGTTCTCCCATAGAACCTGTCTCCTGTGTGGCGGACAAGGATTCTACCACTAAACCACAACGTATATATTTTTGAAAAAAAAAAACAAAAACAAATAAAATGGTTTGTGCTACATATAAGAAGGTACAAAAGTGCTGCTTAAAAGTGTGGTTATGGAGTACCTGTGCTAAAGCTTGTGGCAGTTTGTGAAAAAGGTGAAATGCATCAATTCTGGATGAACTAAGTCTATTGGTACCCTATATGCAGATTAGTACAGGCAAGTTTATTTCAAAGTCCATGTTTTTAAATTTGCCCCTTACTTTCATGTGTTCAGGGAGACCAAGGTCTGACAGTAAAGGGATGGGGGGAAGTTTGAAGGGGCAAGGGAGCCCCCAGATTTATTTTGCCTGCTCTAGCTGTGCAAGAGGGACAAATTCAAGATAAACCTCCAATACTTAGATTCTGTACCTGGAAAATTACAACAAATTTACAAATTGTCCATATATGGAATCTAATCGGGAGGCCGTCTTATATTCGAGTAAACATGGTAATAACAGCGGCTCCTAGTTGCAATGAGGGTGTATTGTTAATTTACTAACACGTTAGCATTTCAAATTTATTCTAGTTGCAAGTTGGCAAATGTAGATACAGGCATGTCGCATCATACGCGCATTTAACTTGCGAGAATTTAACTATACGCAGGTGGGGAGGGGGGGCCGGGCTTGAGTCTGCACATGCCTCTGCCGCTTACCTGGAGGCCCGGCCACCACCACGCTGCCAGCAGTGACTGCCTCTGCCTCCAAAACCTCCCGCCGCCACCATGGAGCCGTGCCTGGAGCTATGTGGCCGGCCGTCGGGCGTGGTGGTGGCCAGGTGGCACACAGCCATCCCCACCCCGCACTGCGCCGCTGCCGCCGGCCGCACAGCTCTAAGCACGGCTCTGTGGCAGCAGCGGGAGGTTTTGGAGGCAGAGGCAGTCACCGCTGGCACGGTAATATGCGATGTCACGATACGCAATTTTCGCCTTCATGCGCTGCCTTTAGAACGTAACCCCCACGTAAGATGCAACATGCCTGTATTACTTACAGATACCTGGTTGTCCAGCCAAGCCATTGCATAGCTAAAGCCAATGGATAAACTGCATCAGTTGTCTGACAAACTGACTTATTTAGATTGAACGTTTGAAAGCCATTTTGATTCTAGGAATTTTCATCCCTGTTCCCCTCCCCAGTCTACCGTCAGCAGGGTGTTCAACTACTTTCTTTTGCAGCTGTCATCTTTTGACATGTAAAAAATTCAGCTAACAGTATTTCATTAATTACAAAAGTTCTTTATAATAATGTATAACTGCTTACTGATTTTATTGGTATAAAACATTAGAACAAGTTAATATTTCCCTTGAATACTTAATAACACTTTCTTGTATTCTGAGGCTTGAGGATTTAGTGCTTTGCTGCACAAAGAATTCACATACAGGATATATACTGAAAAACACTTTGCTGTAGGCTGTTGGTCTCCCAAACTGACATACTTTTCTTCTGTACAAAAAATTAATATGAACATATGGGAACTTCTCAAATGTGCTGTCAAAAAAAGGAAGGTTATTCATCTCTCAGGGAATTTTTGTCCTTTAACAAAAAGAAATAAGAAAAATATTGATTCTTTTAAAGTATTTAAACACATTATTTTTCATCAAAAATGATGGTATCAAAGTCTTCTTGATAAATAGCTAACCAGAAAAATGCAGGTGTTGTTTCAGTATTTGTAAAACGTATATCTTGACATACTTCATTGAAGTTAATTGCACATCATGCCATTTCTCATTGCTGAAGGGTGCAACTCGTTTATCCAAAGTGAGCTAAGAGAATAATAGAGGAGAAAAGGAATGGATATCTCTTGTCTTAAACTGACTGTTTCCTTTATCATTGATGTGTGAAATTTCAGTATTTTTGACCAGTATTTATCCTTAACAATGGTGCTGGATAGACAACTTGTGAGTGAATGCCACTGTCATCTTACCTAGGTTCTAGAATCACTTCCTGAAGATGTTGGGTTTAACATAGAAATAAAATGGATCTGTCAACAAAGAGTGAGTAATCATGCATGTTCCTTATTTTTATACATTGTGTTATTTTGCAGACTATTTATAAATATCATGATATAGCAGTTTGCCTACAATGGACCTAAACTTTACTGTACTGCCTTTTTTATTGCTTTTTGTGTAATTGAAAGTTAATGTTACACAATACTGTGTACCTTTATTTATTAACAGTGGAAGACAGTTTTAACTTTTGGACACATTTTGTCCTTTTGACATCAGAAAAAGAAAGAAAATACCTATCAGTCCTGTAAATGTGCGTGCATGTGTGTGTGCATGTGCACATACATGTACACAAATTCTCTTCGTTAAACAGGTATGTAAGTCTAGGATAGGGCCACAGTGCAGATTCAACCTTTTAAAACATTAATCTTACTAGAAGGCAGTAGCCTTCCCAGTTAAATATTGATACTACATCTGTATACTTATAAATAGCTGTGCAAAATATCTGAAGTTCTTAGTAATCTTTTATGTTTGTTTTCACTATATTTGATGATTTTAACATTTTTGTCTTTTCCTTTAACATAATTAGCCTTTAAATGAATCTTTATTCTGCAAGTAGTGTTTTATTTTGATTAGGTTGTAGGAAAATAGTTGCAAACAGCCCTCCTCTTTTGTAAGTAGGGATGGATAGGCAAATAGTAACTTTCTTTTATTTAGTTTTACAAGCTGAATTTTTCTCTTTTTGCATAACTTAGATATTGAGAGCTCTCTCCAGGTAATTGAAAAATGTCAGTAATTACCAATTTAAACAGCTAAATCTTGTCCTTATTTTCATAGGATGGGAAATGGGATGGTGGCCTGTCAACCTATTTTGACATGAACCTCTTCTTGGACATCATTCTGAAAACCACTCTTGTAAATGCTGGGAGGAGGAGAATCATATTTTCTTCTTTTGATGCAGACATTTGCACAATGTAAGATAAAGAAGAGACATTTTTAAATTTTATTTTTAACTTAATTAAAAATACAGACATATGAACATGTTTTGGAGAATCTAAGTAAAATGTAAATTCTGTGACTCATTTGGATTTGAATGACAACATGTTTGGAAAGTTAAGTCCCTAAACTAGGAACTAGACCTCTCAGCCACCTGACCATGCCCCCAAATAAAAAAAAAGTGATTGAAAGATGTAGCACATTATGAATTCAGGTGCCTCATTAATTGCTTCAACAAATACCTATTTTCTCAAAAGAGCAGGAAAATGTGCAGACGTTATGCAGGGCTGTCATTTCTTCTTTTTCAGTTCTTTTACTGTATGTCCAGTGTGCAAATGGTTTCTTCCTCTTGGTTGGAGGTTAATGTGTGGTGTTTAACTAAACAGTTTTTTCATAGACATCATCATCAGGGCTGGAAGGGACCTCGGAAGATCGAGTCCAGCCCCCCGCCCAAAGGGCAGGAAGTCAGCTGGGGTCATAGGATCCCAGCAAGATAAGCATCCAGTTTCATCTTGAAGGTGTTCAATGAAGGCGCTTGAACCACCTCTGGTGGCAGGCTGTTCCAGACCTTGGGGGCTCGGACAGTAAAGAAGTTCTTCCTTATGTCCAGCCTGAAACGATCTTGAAGTAGTTTGTGACCATTCGACCTCGTCATCCCTTGGGGCGCTCTGGTGAACAAACATTCCCCCAGATGCTGGTGGTCACCCCTGATAAACTTGTAGGTGGCCATCAGATCACCCCTGAGCCTGCACTTTTTCAGGCTAAAGAGCCCCAGGGCTCTCAGCCTGTCATCGTAGGGTCTGCTTCCCTGACCTCTGATCATGCGCGTGGCTCTTCTCTGGGCTCTCTCAAGCTTCTCCACATCCTTTTTGAATTGTGGAACCCAAAACTGGACACAGTACTCCAGCTGCGGCCTCACTAAGGCCGAGTACAGGGGGAGAATGACGTCCCGGGATTTGCTTGAGAAGCATCTATGGATGCAAGCCAGCGTTTTGGTCGCTTTACTAGCCGCCGCATCGCATTGCAGGCTCATGTTCATCTTGTGGTCAACGATGACCCCCAAGTTACTACCTTATAAGCTAGATGTGAGAGTTGACAGTGGATAAATTATTCATTTACTTTGTTGAACAGTCAGAACAAGGCAGTGGAGATGCTAAAAGGGATTGAATGGTATTTAGTGATGGTGCAGAAAAGATAACAGAGCACTACTCAGCATGCTTATCTTGGGTTTGCATCAGTTTGGAAGGTGTTTCCTTCAGGGTACTGTATAAGGAAAATAAAGACCAAGTAATACATATTCTACAGTTTCAACATAGTTCTGGGTATTTTCAGTACAGTCAAATACAAGGAAAGTACATTTTTCTGGCAGTAGCCAATACTTGTCACATTAAGGACTGTCTTAGAACTAGGGATTACGTCTGCATCTGGCAGTATTTAATCTGTATGCAGTAAATTACTGTAGTCTGGGAAGACACAAAACAATTGAAGTTCTTAAAGGGTGGAAACTTATCACTGGTGAGTGTGCATCAGTTGACCTGTTTATGTGTCGTGTGTTGGTTTCTACTTTGTGTGCTAGAAACACTGTTGAAAAGATTCCTTTTCCTTAGGAATATGTTAAAGAGTGTTCTGTATTTTAAAACTCTTTCTACAGGGTTCGGCATAAGCAAAATAAGTATCCGGTGTTGTTTCTGACCCAAGGAAAATCTGACATTTATCCAGACCTTATGGATCTCAGGAGTCGTACAACTTCTATTGCAATGAGTTTTGCACAATTTGAAAATTTGCTGGTAAGTTGTTACATTTCTTTATTCGTCAGTGAAATGGAACTAGTTTATTACTGTATTCTATAATTGCTGATATTGATGACTGGATACAGAAACTGAATTCTAAAATGAGATGATCAGCAAATTATTAGTACAGGAAAGTGTTGAGAGTCTGCTAAAGTGATACATTTTCTTGGGTGCAAAGTAGGCCGGCTGACACGTGAAGCCGCCCCAGCTCCCATGCAGTGCGCAGTGCCCTGCTGAGCTACACTGCACCCGTGCCATGGAGCAGCTGCTGCGTGGGTGCCAAATGGTGGGTGGGGGGGAATCCCTGTTGCCCCGCCCTGGGGGGGGGGGGGCTCTGCCATGAGCCCCCAGAGGCCCCCTGATGGCTGCTGCCAGAGCCAGTGAGTGTGGGGCTTTGCTTTTCTTCCGCCCCCCCCCCAAAGTGCAGGGACTAGGCT